GGCGGCGGCCCTGGGGGCTCGCAGCTTACTCGGCGCGGTAACGCCGCCCTCGCCGTGTGCCGGCAGCGCGCTTCGGTGCGGCTCTGCATCTTCAGCGCTACGTTTTGCTCGCGTCGGTGGAGCAAGTCTGTCGAGGGTCCTGGCACAGGTGTCCTCTAGGGGGTGAGAGGAATAGGAGGAGACTGGCGTAGCCAGTGCTGCCTTGTGCTTTAGCCTCTAATCGGGGGAGAAGCCTCATACCTCAATTAAAGGGTTACTGTTTATCTGCACCCTTCCCCCCATCAAACTTCTTGTGAAAGGGTTTAACAGCACTGTGACTCGTGGTGCTATCTGATGCTATATTTGTGATGCGACTTTTGGACTAATGCGGCTGTTTGCCCCTTTGTGGTCAGAGAGCAGCATTGGTACCAACATCAAGAGGTGACACCTCGGGGGTCTACATCTCTACTTCAAATGCGTGCTTTTAGTTAGCTTCTAAAAGAATGGTTTGAAGGACTGCGGAGCATGTGTTACCAGCAGAAAGGTGTAATTCATTACTGATTCTTTAATGCTCTCATGAAAGTTGTGAAACCCTTTAGTTGTAGTCGAGTGTTGCTAATTTCTTTTAATGATCACTTTTTATTTTGCAGTGATCCTATGAATTCCAAAATGAAAAAGAAACTGAATGCTGAGAAATCATCACTATCTTTACAGGTACAAGCTTTATCTGTTCCTGTATTCTAGCTGCAAAAATTTAAAGAACAAAATAGATGAAATACATGAAGTGGCCCTGAAACGCAGCGTTTACTCTTTTGAAGTATGCGCCCTAATTCTTGGATTGTGGTCACTCTGTCTGACACAAACTTCATCTGCTGAAGGGAATACAAAGGAATTGATTGCAATGTGGTCTTACCTGGCCTGTGTCCTGTTGGCTTGAGCAATCTTCTGGCATGCAGTATGGCTTGGGAAAACTGTCTCTCTGCTTATAGAGCATATGTTCTTATGACTACTCTCTTTCTATTGCTTAGCAAGAAGTTTTTTCTCTTTAGCTTGACAATGAGGTCTCTTAGCTGTCTTTCCATGTAATTTAGGTGCTGATCTTCCCTTAACTCGGTTACTGGATTACTCTGGTTGCTCTGGGCCTGCAAAGCGGGTACTAGTCCATCTTTGTCTTCTCTTGGAGTGAAATCTAAATGTGGAATCTGCCTTGACTTGAACATCCTATAACTGAAGAGTTAATGCAGGCAGTTCTCCTTTTAAAGCCACCCTTGTGAAACTCGGTTGCCTTGGAACTGGTGGAAATGCTTGCTTAAAGTATTTCAGTTCAAGAGATGACTGGATTAAAAGCTACTAAAGCAAACATATAGCTGACTCTTTCTTCCTGCAAGACCTTTTTTGTCAAGTCTTCTGATGTAGACCCTAACAGGGATTGTGCAAGTGCCATATAAACAGGCTAGTATCCCTACTGTGAGGGATAAAGAGTGAATCTGTAATAGCCTCTGGTGTTAATGAAAATCAGATTGATAAGTCTGACTTCACACACGGTCATTTTGTCCTGTGTTGACTGTCGGACATAAACTCCTTAGAGTGGCTTTTTGCGTTTCAAAATACTTAAGTGCAATGGGTTAACTCAAGCATTAGTCAATAATTCCTTGGCAGAATATACTTGACTCTAATCTTCGAGCAGCAAGCAGTGTCTGACACAATATGCTTTTTTGTTCTCACGGTAGCTGGTGTTTGTCCTTTAGTTCAATAGTAGGATAATTGGTGGCAGAGACCTTACCGTGGGAAAGGTGAACTCTTGTCATATGAAGTACAGTGTGAATCAGTAACTTTCTCACGCTGGTAGGGCATTGTATTCTGGCTATTCTTACTTGATTGTCTGCCATTGTTTGCTGTCCCATGGTGGCAGTGTAACCAACCCAATCAAAAAGCTTTAATGCTTGAAATAGGTATTTATGCATGACAAGAAAGGTGATAAACATGCTGTTTATACAAAACAATAGTCGCTGGATCCAAGCAGGGAAGTTCTAGATCAGTTTTGATGGACAATTGAAGCAACACATCTATTTAAATGCATATCACTTCTGAACTTAAGAACAGAAGTAATAAACTGGGTACTGCCTGAAGTGATGTGCATGACGACCGAGTTTCAACACAATTGCAAACACCTCTGCTTCCCCCATCTTCAGTCTAATGCTGCTGTTGTCAAATATAACTTAGGTTTACATGTGTCCTTGCGTTGTAGCTGGCCTTGAAATAGCAGAAGTATTCTGACTTCTTAAGACCCCTTCAAGATCCCTTGTGAGGGATGAAAGTTTAAGATGGGCAGGGATTGAGCCTTCATATGAATAAAATCAACTTGTGCTATAAATAACCAGATCTCTCTTTTCTGCTTGGTCTGGTCCTGCCTTAACATAGACTAAAGTACGTCTTTTCATCTTGAAAAGATGAAGCCTGTGTTACTGTAATGAGAAGATGACCAGCTCCGTAAGTTTCAGTTTACATAGAGAAGACTGGCAACTATTTGATACTGTATTCTTCTTTTTAGAAGTACTTCACAGATACCACATGCAGTACTGCCACAAGAAAGACTCTCAAAATGATTCAGCCTTCAGCCACAGGCTTCCTGGTTGGCAGACATAATGAGGTATGAATTAGAAGTAGCCTCTAGTTTGCTATGAGTAGATACCATTACACAATTACTTTTGAGCTTTTAACTGAAAACCATGTCTGAAAAAAACATATAATCCAATGACTCATGTGACATAACTTGAGCTTATTGTATTGTGGTATGCTTAATAATAACCAACGTTAACTTCAGAATAATTCAGGGAAATTTTTGAAGACTTTCTGATATTAAACCTATAGGTATCGAGGAAGTTGTCATGAGCTAGAACTGATGTAAAGAAACAGGGCTTGATACAGACTTATTAACTTTAGTCATGGGTGAGCAGACTTACAAGTGTGTATTGTAAGAAATACTAGCTGAAGTGTTGCTCTGAAGTCAAACATGCCTGTATTTTATGCAGAGGAAGTCTTCAATCAAAAGGAAACTCTGGAATAACAAGTTAACTTCAAAGACATGTAAAGCTGAGGATACTGTGGACAAAGAGCAAGAAAATGAAAATACAAATGATGTCATTCAAGCAGCAGACCTCATGAAAAGTATGTGGTGGCTTTTGAAATATTTCCTTGCACTTAAAATGCTTTGCTTTTGTTGGAAGCATAACTTGAAGCATGTTTGATTTCTCAGTTGGGTAAGGGTGTAGTTTTATGTCTTGCCTAGCAAGAATTAACTACAAATATCCTCTATAGTATAGGAAATAGTGAATATATATTAAATGCTTAGGAATGGTTCTTCGCTACTGGCTACCATAAGCTCATTCCATGCAGCAGTGTTAAATCTTGTAGCTTGTTACTCCTTTTGGCTTAGGAGCTTTCAAGTGACTAATGATTATGTTAAAACAGAAATCTCCAGTAGCAGCACAATAAGCCGAAGCAGTTCTTTATCATTTCTCAGAACTAGTTTTAAAATGGTATTTTAAGTTTAGTGGGACACTATTTGAGCCCAGTGTGGACAGTGACTGAATAATAAGACTTTTTTTCTTGACAAAGTAGATGTTAAGTCTGACACTTGCAAATGTGACCATCCATCTTGCAGTGCATCTTGCTATGCTTGATGCAACTTCTGCAGCTTTTGGAAGTTCAGCCTGTATCATGTTAATCAGTGTGAGATTTGGGTCTTCTGTAAATTCACGTCTTCAGGTTTTTTTCCAGAGACAGCTGAAAATTTGCACTGTACTGAATGCTTATTCTCACAATATAAGGAATGTTTTTATTAAGTTAGATGTCTCAAGTCAATCTCCAGAATTGTCTTGGTACAGACTTACTGTAGCTTCTCTCTTCAGAAAGCCCTTCATCTCAATATTGGAAAGCAGTGGCTGAAGAAAGGAGGAAGGCTCTGTATGAAGTGCTTCAAGAAAACGAAAAGGTAGCTAGTGAAAGATGAGTGATTTCCTTACTGTTTGCTATTGGCACTGTTTTAACCTTTTGTTTTTTGAACTCAGTTGCACAAAGAAATTGAACAGAAAGATGGTGAAATTGCCTGTCTAAAAGAAGAAAATGAGGAACTGCTGTCACTGGCTGAACATGTGCGTTATATGACCAGCGTGATTGAGGTATTTGAAGGAATTTTCCATTCTCACTGGAATGAAAAAGTGAGAAGGAGGAGTTAAATTGTAGCATCTGTTTTGTGTGCTGACATAGCTTTTCATTGTAAGCTACTATGGCTGTGTGGTTTTTCTATGGGGTTGGACTAATTGAGCCTTTAAGGCCCTTGTAGGGAATGAGTCTGTTTCCAGATGAGAACCTGAAAGAGTAATGAGAAAGTACCTAAGAGGGATACTTTCTGAAGGGAAGGTGTCAACCAGTTGACTGAGACAGATATCACAAGCTGCACAGGCTAAACAGAAAAGTCTCTCTTGCTGAAACTTTGCGTTTTTAGAGGTAGTAATATGGGAGAAGGGTTTATTTTCCCTTTGCCAAGATCATTTAATGTCTATTGCTTAATAGATTGTGTGAGGCTTCTGACTAAAGTGTTTGTACCTGCTATGCCCTTTGAGGAAGTAAGCTTGAAGCAGGGGCATGCAAAACAGTGGAGCTTTAAGAAGGGAGCACGTAACCTGTTCAAGTCAAGGTTTCATGGAGGGTAGCAGTTGGATTCTGTGGTTTTGTGGCCCAAGAAAGGGCTTAGGCACAAAGTCTGTAGGATTCATAAGCTTGTAACTTTTGAAATGGCTGTCTTTAACTAACGGCTTAGATGCTAATATTAAAACCTCAAGTTTTTGTGTTAAACTTCGGAGGAAGCCAAACCAATGGACTAGTGGAAGTCACTGGTAAAGCATCTAGCGCCAAAGCATAGTGGTAAAGAGACTTGTGATTTCAAGGAATATTTCTCTATATCTGTAGACACTTATGGACTTATGTCTATGACCTGAAGCGAACTGAATGAACTAGACTACTACTAACTCAGTATTAGACATATGGGAAAGACTAATTTGTAACTGGAGAAATCTGAAGGCTTTAATTTTGAAGGATCTCATGTTAGCTATGTAGCAGATAACTGTCCTAGATGAATTAAAAATACAGTTCTAAAACTTAGGCTAAAACTGTTTAATGAAATTCCATTCCATCCAAATGCAGCTTCACATAAATCAACAAACTGACAAAGAAAGTAGATACTTTACACAGAGGTTTGTTACATAGCTTAATGTAAGCATAAGCTACCACTGGCCAGGGAAGGACGTATTTGCATGCCTTAAAGGTATTAAAGGCTCTGTCTCATTAGGTGAAAGCTAATGCTGATCCCATTAGGTATTGAATGTTTGAGGAAACAATACTTGTTTGGTTTTTTGCACTTTAAATTGTAAACTTCAAATAATCTAATTTCCTAAAAAGCAAATCACTCTACACTGCCTTATGATCCCTCTGAGATGGTCTCTTGGGAACAAGTAGCCTTGTCACTGATTCTGTGAAAGCAGGAGTAGGTTGTCTGCAGCAGCTACTGAAGCTATAATGAATGAGTAGTTAGCTGTGGAACCTGTAAATACAGTGATAATTGTGGTGTTTTTGGAGAGTTTGAGCGCTCAGTATGAAGCCAGGTGCCCAGCAGATTGACTCTGATTAGCCAGGGGAGCTGGAAACAAAGTGGAAGTATAATCATGTTGTTTGTGATAAAGTAATAGGTCTGATCAAGTTTAATTAGTGCAATTGTTTGGATCAGTTTTTCAAAACTTCACTAACTTGCTACACTTGACTTAGTTCTGTTAGTGTTCAGAGGGTATTGTCAGTTTGTTTACTAGTAATAAACTTCAAGGCAGAAATTAAATGACTTATGGACTTAAAGAGCCTATGCAGCTGGAAACTGAGTTGCTGCAGAGGAGATGGCTGTTAAGCTCACAGGTGTTGTAAACTAAAGCCTCACAAGCAGCTTAAGTGGGTAGTAGCCCCTGAAGTAAGATGGCTTAAGCTGAAGCCTCAAAAGCAAGCTCTTACAGCCCTGTCTTTATTCCTTAAATCAGATTAGGTGAAGAACTTGATGCTTTTGATCATTAAATGCTAGAAATTGCCAGGTCAGTATCTTTTTAGTTTGGCATTTCATCTAGACTTAACTTGGTTTCATTATCTCTGGCTAAAAATAGTGAATGGAATTTGACTTCTAGAAAACTTAGTGCTATAATGCAGAAATAGTTAACTTGGAAAACATTTTCCCCATAGTCTAGATTTTCTAAGACAAATCTGCTTCACTGAACAACTTCCTAATGCTTTAGGAAGGCTTAATGGTCAGCAAGCGAGATGTATCACAATCACAGAATGGTTGAGGTTGGGAGGGACCTCTAGAGATCACCTACTCCAGCCCCCCTACTCAAGCAGGGTCCTCTAGAGCACGTTGCCCAGGATTGTGTCCAGATGGTTTTTGAATATCTCCAGCAAAGGAGACTTCACCACCTCTCTGGGCAACCTGTTCCAGTGCTCAGTCACCCTCGCAGTCAAGAAGTCTGCAAATTAGAGGTGGAAATCAGAAAAGAATGGAAGTGTCTAAATCATTTCTCAGAGTCAATTTTTTTTCTAAATCAGAATTTGCCATCTCCAAATGAAGTGAACAAATCACTTAGCCAGTGAAATAAGACTGTATATTCATTTAATCTATTAACTACAAAGTACTAAGTTCACATTTTCTGTGTTTTTCCAGAGGCTAACTGGGCAAGCACCTGACAATCTTGAGGCACTGAAGAATCTGGCTCTAGAGGAATTTGAACAAGAAAACGAATAACTTTGGGATGATTGTAGACAGCCCTCCTGAGGAAGGGCTGTCACAAGTTTAGTGCGACTTGACGATTACTTCAGATTTTGCTTTAAATGAAGTAGAAGTTTGAAACTGGAGGGACAACCTTAAACAGGCTCATGCATGTGGCTTTTCTTTTAATTACAGGCTTCTATTGAAAGGATATACTAAAGTTTCTCAGGTATAGAAACTCTTGTGGAAGCATTACAGATGTTGGGTTTTAACTGGAGTTATGTAGCAGTGGGAATAACTGGATACTGCTTAGAAAACACATTACAGGCTGCACTTAGTTGCTTGTATAAAATGCAAATACTGTGTATTTCAAGCTGTTGTGTAAATAGTATCTTATCAGTTGGTCTGACATGATATATGAAAATTGATAAATAAATCTTTGCCTTACCAAAATACTCAGCCTCTTATTTGAGTAGGAAACTGCTATTTGTAAATCATGTGACTGTTGCAGACCGGAGTCTTCATATTATCTAGGAGTTACCTGGGCAGTCTTGAACTCCAAGGCTTGCAGAGCTCTAGAGAACCTGTTGTTTAGGGCTGTTTCACTACCTATGGCGGTGTGCCTCAGGACCTCTGTCTATATCCCACTCTTCCTAAGCGAAGTGAAGAGTGCTATGTATGGGAGGGCTGAGGAAAAAGGATGCTGCTTGGACAAGGGCATATGCTGATTTTGGTTCTAAGAGCAGTCCTTTGATTATGCCAATCCACAGTATTCAACAGTGAGTTAACTTGGCTGATGCTTAACTGAAACATTGTGAGGACTTCAAATGGACATGTGCAGGACTCCAGCTTGACAAAATGTTATCCTTGCTAATTTCAGTGGCAGTTTATGTGCTACATCTCAGTCCTTAGAAGTCCCCCTGATAGATACTACAGCTTCTAGAAATGAATGAGCCCGCTCTACACATGGGGAGTCACTTGGAATAAATGCATGGGTTACAAAAGCCAAATGAATCAAACTGTCTATTATTAAGTGTCGGGAGGTTATGTGGTGTTATGCTGCTTTGACCCACTGCATTTGTAATGTTTAGTTTAGGAGGGATTCTTATCTCAAGCAGTCTTAGTTGTGAAATAAAATAATGCTTTTTTTTCTGTCCAGTTAACTACAACAGTGTCTTACCATGAATGCAACAAAGTTTAATCACTGCTTGCTCACTGGTTTAAAAAGTCTAATTTTTTTCCTGTGCTCAGTAGAGGCAAAGTTCATCTCTGGTGTTCAGGGCTCTTCAAAGTACAGTTAAAGTACAGTATTTGCAATAAACACATAATTAGGGTGTGAGGCAGGGGGAAAAGACAAGAGTAGACCAGTGGTGTCTAGAAAACAGGCTCAGCCAACTTAAGTGCAGGAAAGAATATTTTACTTGTCTTTTCCCCTACCCTGAACAAACTTGTGCTGTTGGTGGGACTTAAAGGCTCGAGAATGGGTAGCAAGACTCAAGATCTGAGGTTTATTTAGACTTAGGCTCTTCAGGCTTTTCAACTAACTGCCTCTGTCTTTTTTGAAGAGTGATGTTTTTTCAAGATCTACAACTAAAGGAGAGCTTACATAAGCAAAAAGTATTAGACTCGCCTCTCTAGGAATAAACTTACTGGCTTATGTTTAAAAAAAAAAAAAAGAGTTATCATTCCTGTTGCTCTTAATAGCGTCTGTGCTGAAAATTAGATGGGAATGAAACAGCATATGCTTGAGAGCTATTCTAAAAGGAAAGTCAGTGTTTGTTTTCAAAGCAATGTGTTGGTGTTTAGCAAGATAATGTTTGTTTCCTTTTGAAAGGTGTTTAGAGGAATGGAAAGCATGTTATTTTGACTTAAGCATCTTATCTGATATTTATATGGGCAAAAAAAATAATTCTTCGCTTTGCAAGCATTAAAGTAGTAGAGAGAATAAATTAAAACAGGCTTTTTTGGTCCTAAGTCAGGTTTTCAGCAGTTAATCTGTAAGTAACAGTCTTCCCTAGATGGGCTTTAAAAGAAGATGAGGGCTATTGCAATATCTTGTGAAAAGCCTACAAAGTATTCAGTGACTTTCAGGAGGCTGAGATAATCAGAAACATTCTAGTTTATGGACCTTTATCAGGATTTCTATGAGCTAGATGCAGAAGGTCCTGGTCTTGCCAAAATGGATGTTTCAGGGCAAGTGTGGACAACTGAGATGCTATCAGATTGGCACTGTAGGCTGTGGCTGCCTTAAGAGGATTAGATCCAAACTGGTCAGGAGTTTTCAGGAATGCAGTTCTGAACTCTACCTTGGTTCAACTGCAAGCAGCTGTACTGTGCTTTTACAGTTATTTGCTGTTATCTTCATTTATGCTTATAAGACATGCTGCATGTTTTGTGTAAACTGGGTTTTCTCCATGTGCTTCTCAAGCCTTCAGTTTTCCCTGAATTTCGCCAAAGTGCATACAGGAAATTGAGACAGCATCTGACAGATTTCCTCGTTAGCAGATTTCAGTATAAGTTAGGGTCAGTAGCTGATGCCTAGTCTCTAAGCACATTTGGATTCCTTTCATGTATTTTCTCCATATGGGTTTCTGCAATTTAATAGATGGTTTCACTACTGATTTTGATGGAGTATCGCTTCCTGTGATGCTTCTAACACTATTGCCCTCTGGCTTCCATTTCATGTTGAATCTAGTATCCACAAGGTGATGCCTCATCTGTTCCTGGGAATGTAAGCAAAGGATTGCACCTTCCAGTTTGTGCTCTAGGGAATGTTTGGGCATAAGCCTACCCATCACAATGCAGAAACGGTGGGCAAAGATGTTTAGATGTTTCCTTTAATTTGTGCTAGTGGGTGGTGTGTGGTTTTTTTTTTTTTTTTTTTTTTTAGGAAACTGGAAGCTGCATAACTGCTCTGCAGGGTAACCCTGGCTTTCCACTCAGGAGAAATGAATAATACTGTCAAGTGACTTTATTACTTAGTTTCAAGATAGGAGAGAGGGCTTTTTTCATGCCAGAATAGTTGTTTGGTGATGGTAAATAAGGAAACACATGAAATTTAACTTGTTCTAATATTCCTTTTATGCTGTGCATATTAGTTTAAAATATTCACAAATTATAACCATTCTTTAGAGATGGCTTTTTTAAACATTTGAAATATTTTGTAGTCTCTGAAACCCTAGAAGGGAAAAAAGCACTGCTGCATAATTATCTGGCCAGCCAAACCAATCCATATGAGACAGCGATTTCAGCTTCTTTTCCAGCTTTTCACCTCCTACTTTGTGAACTGCTATAATACAGGGAATATTGTTTGAACAAAGAACTGTCAGCAGATAGCAAATCCAAAACTGGATTGTAATGCATGCATTATCTGAAGCTGACTCTTGCTCTTCACCCAGATGGTCAAGAAGAATGTTTATTAGGTTTAAATCTTTTGCTCTTCTTTGATTGTTGGGATTTATATAACAAATACAAGACAGTCCTTGGAGTGCTTGGATCCTTACTTTAGTTGAAATGGATCGTGTGCAAAATATATCACACAAGTCCTTTATGTATTCTGATGCACATGTTGCAGCTTTTGTCCCACCTGTAAGAGATGACATTATTGTTATGTACAGAGGACTTTGGTTAGTTAGTAATACAATATACTTGCACAGGAAATCTCTGAACCAAGGCTACTGTGGAACCCTTAACTTCATTCCATTGTCATAAAGAATGCAGTCCGCGTATCAGCTCTTGAAAAAACATTCTGCAGGAGAAGGCCGAGTATGAGGACCGAATTGTAGCCCGGGAATTGGACCCATATATATGCTCTTTATCTCTGTCATGGGTGTATTGGACCTTGATCAAATAATGTAATCTCCCTGTGCCTCAGTTATTGTATCAGAAAAACAGTAGTATATGAAAGTAATCAGGAATGTTGTAACATTGCGTTAATCACTACATACAAATGTTCTAAAAGGGTGGAGTTTCATTTACTGTCCTCAAAATTCCTTTTTTTTTTTTTTTAAATACGTGCAATAAAGTTATCCTGTATAATAAGTATAGGAACTTTGTATGCATATGTGAGGGACCATGTAACAGCTGACAATCAACATCACTTAGGACAAACAAAGAAATCTCATATCCAGCTAAATTACGGATAATGTTCTGGCTAGCGGGATCAAATGATCAGTTCTAAAACCTGACTGCAGAATGGGATTTTCAAAAAGTCACAAATACTTTTGTGCACCCACTTGGCCAGCAGGCTGACTCCTTTTCTTTGCACGGGTTACAGCCACAACTTGATTCACAGAAGTATCCTAAGGCTTCCCAGAAGTGGGATCCACCTACCAAGACCAGATCCTAGTACTTCCCCCATAAAATGTACATGCCCTAACTGAAGATGGAATTCCAGGTATGTCAAACTCAGGTGTTTCTCATGCTGGGAGTAAGTGCATTTTCAGATGCCAGATGTGTCAAAAAGAATCAGCTGTGCAGAGACTAGCAGAGAGCCAAACAAACCTTACACACCTGAGTGTTGTGTGAGTAAGAAATTTTTAATTGGAAAATGGATTTAGCAAAAATAACAGTGTAAACACCCATTGTGCTTAAGACATAATGCATGGAGGATGTGAATTAGACTATAATAACTACTTGGCTGGGTAGCTGAAATCAGTTGGTGTTTGGCATTGTATTGCTTAACTGGGAGCCTACACCATTGTCACGTCTTACAGCTTATTTTGCAGGCGGTGCACAAATAACTAAGTTGCTCAGTGCTTTTTGCAAGGAAGTGCACTGCATATGCATTTACTATTACTTAAGGGCCATCTGAGGTTGTTTTCTTTTCAGAACTGGATTTGAAATTTTGAGCAGGTGGTTTGAAAACCTGTCAAGCCTCTGTGCTTCTTGTGCTCCGTTGTTCTTGAAACAGAATTATACTGTTAACATTTTTTTATGTAGAAAATATTTATTGCATATTGTTAATTTTTTTTCCATTCATGTAATAACACAGAGTAGTTCTGCAACTGATAAGGCTGTTCTGAGAAACTTTAATTTATTGCTGCTTTGTAGATCTGCCGGCAACTGCATGTAGTGAGAAGTGATCAGTCACATTAAAGGTCAAATGCTTGGGTATAATGATATGTTTGTAGTACCCTCTGGTGGCACCTGAGACGTTTGAAAGGGGCCGCAGTGTGCCTTATCAGATAATTCCATTGCACGTCAGCAAAATTTATCCAGCTCTAAGAGGTTTTGTTGCAAAAATAATAAAATAAGGTAAAATAAGAATCTTGCTCTTAATCTTAAGTAGTGCTCTCATCAGTTTACTATAATATTAATGATAACAAACTGGACTTTTTATTTTGATGCCTAGAAATTGTGAATGAGGTGTAAGTAAAGATCATGGTTTTAAACAGAACTAATAAAGCCTAAAAAGGAAAACACTTGAGGAACTGCATCAAAGCTGAGATTTTCAGGAAGGCTTTAGGATCTGTGCTTCTAA